TGGATACATTTGTATGTTGACAATTGTCAATCTGTAAATGCTAGGCTAATTTTATTAGTTTACATGGATAGTGGGCTTTTAAAAGTACAATTGAAGATCATTATCATTTCATCTGTCCCAGTTATAGCAAGCACTTTGTAGTGTTGACTATAAAGTGTGTGTGTGAGTTTAGACGCAGACGCAGTGGATTTGCTGCTTTGTGTCTTTTGTTGTTGTGAGGCTTTTGGATACATTAACCAGTCTCAGTTTAGTTTCCTTTTTTTCAAATGGAGTAATATGCTCCTGACAGAATTATCATAAGGGTAAAGTGTTTAATAAAGAATGTTTTTCTGTTTTAGAAATTGAGATAAAATTTGAGTTATAAAAAGCAGCAACTCAAATATAAGCAATTATGTTCTTTCTAATTTTCTTTTCAGTGAACTAGTGTTGGTGATTTTTTTGTATTCATGCCAAAAGATAGTATGTTTACATATGGACTGCTCTATGATTGGAATATGGATATGTCTAGCTCTTAAACATTTTAAACCCAATAATTGTTGTTTACATGTCTGTATACCATATTTACTATTTAACATTATGGTAGATATGTTCTGCATCTTAAAGTGTGTATAACATTTAGAACTTTTTTTTTTTTTTTTCAAGTTCTGGACTTTGAAATTAGGGGCTTGTAATCACTTGGCTTGTTTAGTTAGAGCTCTACCACATGAGCCATTCCTTAAGTGTTGATTTTTGCTGGTTATTTTGGAGATAGTATCACAATCCTTTCTGTCTGTAATCCGCAGTAGTTTAGGATTACAGGTAGAAGCCACCTGCATCTCGCTCATGACTGACTTCTATAGATACTTTGCAGAATGTAAATCCATCACATTTCTCCCATGAATGAGAGTTAGAATCACTGCGGATTTGTATGTGTACATATGTACTGATCTAGAAGTGTACTTGTGATGACTATACTGATTATTGCTTGTATTAAACTACTTTTTTTTTTATTAGTTACCCAGTGAAATAATTACCTCCTGATTGTACTGAGAAATGTTTCAATTGGGCTCTTTCTCAAAGTCTGGTGTATCAGACTTTGAGATGTGGATGTCCTAGATTTTTGAAGAGTCAGAACTTTCTGCTCTCTTTCAAGAATGATGACTATAAGCCATTTTAAAGATTTTGGTCTGCTGGTGGGGTGCAGTTCTTGCCATCAGAGCCACAATAGGAGTCGGGCATCTGGACAGCATCCTCTTTCGTGAAGAGTGGCAGGCATTTTCTTGCAAGATCTGGGTCCTTGGTCTCCTGGAGAACCTGGCTTGTCCATTCTGCTCTTGGGTATTCAACGGTCCAGCTATAGGTTGGGTGCAAAAGCTCCTAGGTCCAGCAGATTTTCCTTCCAGGAACAAGATTTACAGGGAAAGAGCTCTGGGAAGGAAACAAAAATTAAACTTGGTTATACTTCACAACATTTTCACTGCTGAGATTTACACTTATATATTTGTGTGTGTGTGACATTTTCAACCATGGACATTTCTATAAAAGCCTGAGAAAAGAAGCTTTTTACTCATCTGAGCACCAGGAAGTTAGTGGAGGTTTATTCTTCAACCTAAGGAGTGTCTGGCTGTTCACTGAAATGCTTTGTTTGCTTAGGAGAATGCATCATTTGGTTAGGAGAATCTCTTGATGTGGATAGTGTGGACAAACAGGAGAAATCTGTGAGCTGCAGTTGGAAGGTGATGAGCTGCCTGATTGTGTGTTTTCAGAGACCACTGCATGTAGCTGATGTTGACTGGGACCTCAGCTTCCTTCACTTTGGCCTATCCATAGTTTTCTATGGTTCCCAGTTCATTTGTTCTGTTTCCTTGGTCTTACTCAGGATAAACTCATTTTCAGGGTATTTCTTTCTGTTCAATGTCTGTTCTACCTAAGATTGCAGAGTTGGAAACTTCTGAATTTTCTTGTATACTTTAAGAACAAACGCAGAATTTGGGAGGACAGTAGGAATCCAGGAACAAATTGAATGCAGGACAAAAATTGACAAACAGGGTTAGGGAAACCTTTTTTCTGATGTTTAAGGGAAGAAATTAGATTTTTTTTTCTGCCTATAAAAGTATTTCAAAGTGAAAGGATAGCCTTGAAAGAAAGCTCTCCATATGAAAGGGACCTCAAAGAGAAATCCAATAGAGTCCTCTGGGGGAGTTTTTATGGTACTGAGCTTCTTGCATCGATCCTCCCCTGAGCTTTGCACTGATTGCTTGATGGCTTATATGTATACTGCCCTGGCTCTTTTTATTGGTTGAACAGACACCCAGGGCATTATGGGAAGAAGCTTTTGAACAGGACCCTGAGGCACTATGGGAATAAGAAGTGCCTTGATGGGCCACATGTTATCTGCCACATGCAATGTCTGCCACCTTTTATCCCTGTTCTTTTCTCTCATTTTGGCCAAGGGTCCTTTGGAGTTTTATGACAGTGTTTGTGGGTCATACAAAATTATCAAGACAAGCAGATGGGGCTGCTGTTGAGAAGCATACAGGTCTATTGATCATGTACCAAATAATTTTTCAGGCATTCTGTGGTTGGTCAGACATTCCCCATGCCTGATTAGGATGTCCAAGTTTGAGAGAGAGTCTCTCTTGTCTCTGTGTCTCTTACCCTGAACTCAGGGTCTTGGGCTTGCTAGGCAGGTGCTCTGCCACTTAAGCCATGCCCCTACTTCAAAAATTTTCTTCATGAAACTCAATACTAACTGAACAAACTAAAGAGGGATTAATTACATGCTATTCTTGATGCATTTGAATAATCAGTTATTGAAGCATGCAGGTACATTTCTCGAATGTTTCCTTTAATTTCCTTCCTTGCAAATGATTTTTGGAATACTTGGGTATAATGTATATTCTATATCCTGCAGATAAATCTCTGTTTTGGGGAAATGGTTTCCATAATTAGGCTACAGAACTGGAGCTGAGCAGTGCTGTGGTTCAGCCTCATTTTAGCCATCTCTGGGATTTGGTCTTTCTAAGTGGTACTTGTTGTTCTGCTGTATTCATTCCACAAATGTTTTTTGCAAGTCTGAAGGACAATCTTACCAGGCCTTTCAAAGCTTTCAAGTCTTTCAAAGCTCACCTTTTAGGGCAGATGACAAATAGTAACTAGGGAAAAAAGAAAACAAATAAGTGATGGCCTTAGAGGCCAGAGGCTAACCAAGGGGAGGCATCAGTGGGGTGCCTTCTAGGCAGTGAGCTAAGATCTAGGGTGGGAGGGGGGAGCGTTTCTAGGAGAGGGAATAGTAGATGAGGTCTCCAGACAATTCTAGACCTACTAAGCTGGATGTGCCTGGTAGGGAAGAAAGGACAAAAAAGAAGCCCTGGAGGGTTTGGTAGGGAGTGAGATGATTCGATTTACATATGAAAGAGTAACTCCAGTGGGGAAACTGCCAATTGGGAGGGAAGCTGGGGGCCTGGGCCTGGTCCTTGGTCTGGGGTGATTAGATAGAGTAGGGTAAAGAGAGCATTGCTTGTGGCTATAGAACTGAGGAAAGTGGGAAGCCTTGGGTTCTCTGGTCAAAAGTCAAGCTTACTTTAAAGATTTTAATTGGCTCTATTTACAATTCTAAAATCAGGCATGTTTCATAAAATAGAATTCGTGTTTCCTTGGCTGAAGGGAGAAGATCTGATTTTCTAGATGGAGGGGGATTGGAGATTGCTGGAAGAACCCTGAGGCCTTGTGTGGTTTCTAAAGTACTCACATTGTGATGCAGGGACTTAGGGAACGAATCATGGAAGAATAGTTAACATCCACTCACCTCTGCTTTAACCCCACTTCCCTTCCTCAAACCTTAGAGCCGGGAGAATTCCTGTCTTGATTTTGAAACTGTCCAGTTGCAGTTACCTCTTCCCTGACTATACCTTACAACTTGGTTTTGGTTTGATGACTTGGAGCTCTAGTGTGAATGACTTCATTTTGAAATTTAGGGTGCTTTGCTGGGACCTACTATGGGAACTTAGATCAAAACAACAAGGCCTGCCATTCTTTGTTTACTGTCATATTTAGAGTGTCTACTTTTAAAAAAATATATTATTGTTTTTTATCTTTAAGTTGTACAAATGAGTTTCAGGTCAACGTATTGATTTATGAGTACAATGTATCTTGATGAAAGTCATTCCCAGAGTGTTTTCTTTTTGATGATAAAGAAAGAAGATTTGGAAAGGAAGAACAGGAGTAAGCCCAATGTGTGTAACAGGAAAACATTTTAAGGTCAGAGTCCATTAGTCAATGCTGAATCTGGTATTCTGGAACAAAATCTTATTTATTTATTTTTGTGCCAGTCCTGGGGGCTTGACTCAGGGGTTGGGTGCTGTCTCTGTTTTTTTTTCCTTAAGGCTAGCACTCTATCACTTGAGTCACAGTTTCACTTCAATATCTTTTATTTTTATTTTTGATGGTTAGAGATAAGAATCTCTCACAGATTTTCCTCCCCAGGCTTGCTTGGAAATGTAGCCCTTAGATTTCAGCATCATGAGTAGCTAAGACTGCATGCATAAGCCATCAGCATCCAGCTAGAACAAACATTTCAGAGACATATGCAGGAGTGCTGTAATTCCAGAGCAATTACCAGTTATTATCTTACTAGTTTATGTCCTTTGAAGGCTGGGCCTATCTGACTCATCTTAGTATCTAAATTGTGCCTTAGAGATATAGGTTTAGGTCAATGATAGATTTTAATCTGAAGGCTTAATTATCTGTAGAGAAGATTGTATTTATGATTATGTAAGGAAATATTGTGAGTAGAATAAATCCCAAGAAGCTGTTTTGCAATGAATCTAGAGAGAGAGAAGGCACAGGAGATCCCAACAGAAGAGGTCCCTGACCAAAGCACCTGGTTGGCCATGAGCTGATGGGTATGGTACAGGCATTTGGTATTTAGTGTTGAAGATAGGATGGGGGTGGTGTGTGGAGGAGAGAAATGCCATCCTTTTTGATTTGGCTCATGAACCTTCCCTGTCTGGTTTTCCTAGGATGAGCTGGATGAACTCCGAGCTGAGATGGAAGAGATGAGAGACAGCTACTTAGAGGAAGATGTTTACCAACTACAGGAGCTCCGGCGAGAGCTGGACCGTGCTAACAAGAACTGCCGAATCCTACAGTACCGGCTCAGGAAAGCTGAGCAGAAAAGCTTGAAAGTGGCAGAAACAGGGCAGGTGGATGGTGAACTTATCAGAAGCCTAGAGCAAGACTTGAAGGTGAGTTAGAGGGACTGATGGCCTGGGCATTCTAGGGGTAAGGGTTAGCTATCTGAAGATGGAACTCCAGACTTCTCAAAAGTTTCTTGTTTTGAGGTTAGAGGTACAGGGTACAGATCTAGGGCCTCCCTTATGCCAGGCAAGGACCCTACCACGGGGCCACAGATTCCTAGCCTCCTGGTAAATGGGTTCTCAGTCTGTCTGTGTCTCTCTTTCTGGGGTTTCTCTGTTATTGAGGCTGATCTTAAACTCCTGGGCTCAAGCCGTTCTTCTCCCCCAGGCTTTTTGGGGGGCTGGGGCTACAAGTAAGTACTGTCTCCCCCTCCCCTGCAAATGGGACACATATTCTTGATGTTTTCCTGCTATGTTTGTCTCAGCTGATTTCAGCACAAACATTCTTTATTTACATTATGGCCCATAGAGTATGTCTACTTATATAACTTGAATGGCATAAGGTTTAAATCTGTCATAAAATAATCTCAACTAAACCTTTAAAAAAATCGTTGTAATGGAACTACAATGCAAAAAAGAATTAATACCTGCCAGTTACTCTGACAGTTGAATAGAAATTATGCCTATTCCTAGAGATTATTTCTGAAATAAGCTCAAAAATTTTTATTGGTTGTCAAGTCAAGGACTACTCTTAAAAGTTACCACCTCCCTACCATCTTCAAGGTTATTTAGGTTTCTAGGATGTGGAAAATCTGACATTCTCATAACCTGAGGGATACTTGTATAGTGGTGACCTAACTGAAGGAAAACTGATTTGTAACTAATAATCTAAGTCTCCTTGAGAACCACTGGCAGAAATGATGTGAAGAAGTCCCAGACTTTATACTATTGCTCACTGTCATGACCTGATTATCAAATCATTTATCTAGAGATGAATTATGCATAATGTCCTCCTTAGTACAAGAGTACTTATACAATCTCATCTAGCTTTCATTACAACAGGAAAAGAATCTTTGTAATTCTATCGAAGTTATAAATTGCTAAGAAAATGTCATTCGGTGCAAGAAAGGGTGATTTCTATTTCTTTACAAAGTCTTTTCTCATTTGCTTTTAGAAAGTAAAGAGGTATAATTGCTTTGAACATTTGAGCATTTTAACCACACAAGTACCACAGTAGACAATTTAAAACTTGAGTATGCTGAACATCTACTGCATGTAGAATTTATTATTACTATTGCTATTTTTAGTCAGGCAAGTTTAAAACAAATATTGACTTGTTCATTATTATTATTTGTAATTTATCGTATAAAGCATGTGAAGAATTGGCATTCTCGATGCTATTCTGTGAGGAAATTGGATTATCCAAAGTTACCTTTGACTCCAGATGAAAGTACGAGTCATAGACCCCTCACAAGATTGATTTTTTAATTCTTTCTTTTCTTTTCCTTTCCCTTCCTTCTTTCCTTCCTTCCTTGCTTCCTTCCTTCCTTTCTCTTTCTCTTTTTCTTTTTCTCTCCCTCCCTTCTTTCCTTTCTCTCTCTCTTTCTTTCTTTTTTCTTTCTATCTTTCTTCTCTCTCTCTCCCCTCTCTCTCTTTCTCTTTTCCTTCCTTCTTTCTGTCCTTCCATTTTTCTTTTGCTAGTCCTGGGGCTTGAACTCAAGGTCTAAGTGCTTGTGCTCAAAGCTAGCACTCTTAAGACTTGAGCCACACATCCTCGTTTGCCTTTGTGGTGGTTAATTGGAGATAAGAGTCTCTTGGATTTGTCTGCCTGGGCTGACTTCAATACAGGATCCTTAGATCTCAGCTGCCTTGAGTAACTAAGATTTCAGGCTTGAGCCACCAGTGCTTGGTTGATTTCTTGTTTTAAACTACCAATCGTCTATCCCTTATCTGAAGTGATTCAGATATCAATCACAGGTGCTTAACCTGTAATACCTCTTCCATTAAATACAAGTCTGTTAAATATATCTGGAACCATCTTGTTACTTATTGTACTACTATATTACTTGGTAATTCTGCCTCTGATGTGGTCTGAAAACTTTATATCCTAATGTTTATCTCTGTGGGCTGATGCAGGTAGCCAAAGATGTGTCTGTCAGATTGCACCATGAACTTGAGACAGTGGAGGAAAAGCGTACTAAAGCTGAAGATGAAAATGAAACTCTCCGACAACAGATGATTGAAGTGGAAATATCTAGACAGGCCCTCCAGAATGAGCTAGAGAAGCTGAAAGAGGTAATGTGGAAATGTGTAACCTTTCCTCCTGTGTTAATTGTTAGAAATTTGAGACTCTATAGTCTCATTCTTGTGCTGCTAGAAGGCAGAACAACCAATAATGGAAGGCCTGTTTATTTGGCTCAGGAGTTAAGAATGGTTTTTCTAGCCAGGTGTGGGTAGCTCATGTCTATAATCCTAGCTACTCAGGAAGCTGAGATCTGAGGATCATGGTTCAAAGTCAGCCTAGTCTCAAATTAACCACTAAAAAGCCAGAAGTGGACTCAAGTGGTAGAGTATTAGCCTTGAGTGCAAAAGGTAATGGACAGTACCCAGGCCCTGAATTCAAGCCCCAGTACCAGCATACACACAAAAAACATGGTTTTTATTATTTTCTGATATTGTCAAATAAATGAATTAAAAACTCCATACATAATAAATACCCCCAAAGGCAAAGAAGACTTTGGAAAAAAGATTGTGTTGCTTGCAAAACCTAAAGTGTTTACTGTTTGGCATTTTATAGAAAAGCCTGGTTGAAATCTATTACTTATAATTTCCATTCAGATTAGGTGGCCATTAATTCCTTACATGGGTCCAAATGGGATTTATTATTACTAGAGTACAGAATTAAGCAGTAGCTTTTTTCTTGAGTCTTCTTGTCCAATGAGCTACAGAATATGTTCTGTAAATAGGTAATGTATGCTATCTATATATATCATTCAGCCAATATGATTTAAATATAGATATTTTTGCATTTCAGGGAGTGATTATTCCTGCAAAAATTATTCTTGCATACAGCAATGTAAATCCTGATCTGCTTTTGATTTCCATTATAAGATTAAAGCTGAGTGTTTTCTTGGAAAACATCCTGCATGTTGATGAAATAAAAAAACCCTTGGTGAAGGCTTTTGGATGCTGGCATAGTACTTGCTGATGGCCTCACTTAGCAGGTCATTGTTGATATTTGGATCCATTTTCGGAATCACCCAGTCATTTTATCTATCCTAGCATGCAATACCACACTTGGTTCAGGTTTGGTCGTAGGCTCTGTGATGGGAAATGCCACATGAAAATGTCATTTGTTTTCGTTCCTTGAATCCATTCCTCTTGTCACTAAAGTTACACTGGAGTGCAAGTTCTGCAGGACAAGGTTTGGCTTCATTGTGAGGTTTTTGTGTTTGGAACAGTGCTTGATACATGTTATGTGAGGCAGTGAACAAACAGATGAGAATGGAGAGCTGTGGTGATCACAGCTTGCTGGTAGTGCAGAGCAGATTAGCTTTCCAGAGCCTGCTTTTGCTGCAGGAGGCAACAGTCCTTAACTTCCTCAGGGATCTGTCCTCAAGACTAGGGAGTTTGTGGTCCTTTTAAAGTCTTCCCACATACAGTTTCTGGTACTTCCTGTATCTTTTTCTTTAAGTTTGCTTCAGAGTATGCCATATGACTTCCACCTTGTGGGCAGAGAAAGTAATATAGGTGTACATTTTATAAAAATGGATATGTGTATATATTTTAATGTTCATATATAATAACACTCACCTGCATACACACAAACATCGAGTGATTCCTTGGTAAATGTAAAAGATTGGTTCCAGGACCCCCAGACACTAAAATCTATGATGCAAAGATATGTATATAAAGTGATATAATATTTCCATATAACTTGTATGTATTCACTTAAACCATCTATATAAAATCCATTAAACAGATTACTCATAATCCATTACTTTGGATTACTGATAATACCTAGTACAATGCAAGTGATGTGTAAATCGTTATAACATTGTTTAGGGGACAACAGTAAGAAAAACAAGGTGTACATGTTCACTGCAGCCACAGTATTTTTTCCCTGAAATATTTTTGATCTATAGTTGGTTGAATTTTGGGATGTGAAACCTGAGGCTACATGACAATACATTTTTTAGGCAAGTAGATTCTTTGTGGATTTGTATAGGACTCCATCTCTCTTGGGAGGATGAATTTACTATTGCTGCTCTTGACTTTGAAAGCAGGGCCATGGTGAGGCAGGCATCTTCAGTGGCTTGCTCTGTGCTTTGGGTTCTACTCTTCTGCATCTGTAGTCTTAGGAATTTTCTTTTTTATCGATACATAAAACATAGGTTGTACGTGCAAACATAGTAAGTTTCAGAAGCTATACATACCTTATGATTCCATGTGTAGAAAGTACTGTGAGTTGGCAGACATATGACAGAAAACAGGTGAGTTGTTTCTAGGGGCTGGGGAGAAAGAGACCTATTTACCAGGGAGTAGAGATTTGGGGTTTCCTTTGAGATGATGAAAGTGTTTGGAACTAGGTAGCAGTCGTGGTTGTACCAAGTTGTGAATGTACTAAATGCCACTAAATTGTACACTTGAAAGTGGTTAATTTTATTTGTGAATTTTTTTTTTGGTCAGTCATGGGGCTTGAACTCAGGGCCTGAGCAACTGTTCCTGAGCTTTTCAGCTCAAGGCTAGGGCTCTGTCACTTTGAGCCACAGTGCCACTTCCAATTTTCTGGTGGGTAATTGGAGTAAGAGTCTCACAAACTTTTGTGTCTGGACTGGCTTTCAACCACCATCCTCAGATCTCAGCCTCCTGAGTAGCCCACTGGTGCCAGGCTTTATTTGTTAATTTTTACTTTTTTCAATTTTATTAGATTTTTTTTATTATCAAGGTGATGTACAAAGGGGTTTCAGTTACATAAGTAAGGTAATGAGTACATTTCTTGTCAACTTTGTAACCCCTTCCCTTAATTTTCTCCTACTTTCCATCCCCTTCCAACTCCCCAAATTGTACAGAACCTTTCTAACATATTGTCTTGTGAATATTGCTGTTGCATTGGTCCCCCTTGTCCTTTGTCTCACCATTCTGTTGTTTCCCTTCCTTCCCTAATTCAAATAAACATATCTACAATAAGCCAGACCCAGAGAAACATAGGTCCCACGATTTCCCTTATTTATAATAATTAGTATACGTCTAGGATAATCTTAGCAGATGAACAGAATAGCTCAATATGACCATATAAGATGATGCTAAGCAAAATGAACTCCAAGACTTGGACACAAGAGGTTTGTCTTTGTTGTTGTTTTTAATGCACTATGTGATCTTTTGTTTCTTTTGTGTGTTCTTCTCCTGATGGTATAGCTTCTGTTATTATTGTATTTGATTTTGGTACCCTGGCATTATTTGTGAATTTTGACTACCATTAAAAATGTTTTTCTAACTGGACGTCGGTGACTTACACCTATAATCCTTGACACTCAGGAGGCTGAGATCTAAGATTTCTGTTCAAAGCCTGCCTGGGAAGGAAAGCTTGTGAGACTCTTATCTCCAAATATCTATCAAAAAAAGCTGGAAGTAGAGCTGGGGCTTAACTAGCCTTGAACACTAAAGCTCAGGGACTGCACCCGGCAGTTCAAACCCCAGGACGGGCACAAAAATGTTTTTTATTTTCCTCTGTCATATCCATACTCTTATTTCTATCCATACCCATCTCAAAGGCATATTTGAAGGTTGGCAGTGTATATTAATATATATATCAAATATGATGTCAATATTGAATTTGTTGAGACTTCTTTTGTACTTAGTAAATGGTTAGGTTTATAAATATTTTTTATGTGCTTGACAGGAATGGTGGATGCTCTAAGTTTAGGGTGGTATATGTAAATCCATTAGATTGAAAATCTTAAAGGATTAATTGTAACCCGCAGCAAGAAATATATTTTATATCACTACTCAGTATATAAATATCAATAAAGGTATTTTCAAAGGAATGCTTACCTGTCATTGATTTTATGCTAGCATTTTCAGTTTTATTTTTATTTATGGACTACCAGCAGATTGCTGCGATTTGTAAAAATATATGGGATTAAGAAAAATTTAATTTTATTGTCAAAGTGATGTGCAGAGGAGTTAGTTACATATGTAAGCTAGCGAGTGCCTTTCTTGTTGAACATTGTTGTCCCTCCCTGTTTTTCTCCCACTTCCCGCCCCCACCTGTGCTCCCCCCCATTGTCAAGTTCATTTCCTACATACTGTCTTGTGAGTATTGCTGTTGCATTAGTTCTCCCTTTGTCCTTTGTCTCACCATTTTGTTATTCCCCTACCGTTTCTGAAATCAGATTAATGTATATACAGGATGCAGGGTACCAGAATCAAATACGGTGACAATAGGGGATAAACCAAAGGGGGGGGGGTGGGGAAAGAAAGAAAAAAGAAATAACTTCACACAATACATTAAAAACAAACAACCAAAAAAATACCTCTTGTTTCCATATGTTGGAGTTCATGCCAATTAGCATCATCTTATATGGTCATAGGTAAATAGCTATTGAGCTTTTGTGATCCTCTGCTAAGACTATTCTAGACATATACTAATTATTACAAAATGAGGGAAATCAGGAAGCCTATGTTTCTTTGGGTCTGGCTTACTTCACTTAATATGATTTTTTCCAAGTCTTTCCATTTCCTTATGAATGGGAGAATGTCATTCTTTCTGATGGAAGTATAGAATTCCATTGTGTATTTTTACCACATTTTCTTGATCCATTTATCTACTGAGGGGCATCTAGGTTTGTTCCTTATCTTAGCTATGGTAAATAATTGTGCATTGAATATGGTTGTGCTGTTAGCTTTAGTATGGCCTTCTTTGTGGTCATTTGGGTAAATGCCCAGGAATGGGACTGCTGGATTATAGGGGAACTCTATATTTAATCTTTTGAGGAACCTCCATACTGCTTTCCAGAGTGGTTGAACAAGTTTACTCTCCCACCAACAGTGTAGTAGTGTTCCCTTTTGGCCACATCCCCGCCAGCATCTGTTGTTATCAGAATACTTGATAATGGCTATTCTAACTGGGGTAAGGTGGACTCTCAATGTGGGATTGTTCATTAATTGTGTGGTTTAAATTTTTTGTAGCCTTTGATAGTTTTATGAATTTTATTATGAAATTATGAATTTTAATTTTTTATGATTAACTTGCTTTATATGCTTTGAAATCATATTTTCAATTTAGGACTTTT